CCCTGTCTATTTTAAAAAGTTCAAAGTGCTGCTTTCTTTGAGCTAAACGCTGCGCACTGGAATGATCACTGTAACCATCTTCACATTATGTTAATTCAAAGGAACATGACATTAGCTATATCTTGCTCATCATATATACATGATTTTAAGGGTGCTAGGTTGGTTTATATACTGAGAATAAACTTCATTAGTCAAGCACAGAATTCATTCTGAAACTTTTTCTCCTCCCTTCTTTCCTTTGAACAGCATGGCAGCCAAATGTGAATCTCTAACTTTTTAAATGTTTGTTGCATCTCAGCTTAAATTTAAGAGTCAGTTACATTTTGTTGTTTTTTTTTATGTGTCCGTGTGTGTGTGTGTGTGTGTGTGTGTGTGTGTGTGTGTGTGTTTATATTTATATGTATATAGAGTGTGTGCTCTAAATACTGCATTTCCATGGATTTGGTAGATAGGGGTATTGCTAATTTCTGTTTGTGTTTTTCTGTACTTTTCTTGGGTATTTTTCTCAGTACATGTGTGTGCATATCTTTGTGCATTTGTGCGTGAATAGATAAACATGACTGTTTGTGTATGTGTCTGTGTGTGGTTTGCAATCCCCAGAGTAACGTAAAATGTTGGCTTGTATTGGAAGCTTTGTACTCTGTGTTTGCATCTGAACAAGTGAATGGGTGGAAGAAATTCTAATAGAGGGAATTTTTCTTTAATAACATCTTTCATAGACTTTCAGTCTTTCCCTCTGACTTTTTTTTTTTTTTGACGGTCTAGGTTAAAGGGCCATGACTCTGTCACAAACTTGCGCCTTGTCACTGAGATGTAAACCAGGTTTAAGTGCATAAGATGCAGCAGAATGTCCCTTTATGTTTCAAATAGACTCCAGACTTTATTGCAGACACCTCGGGAGGTCGTAACCCCAGCAGCTTCAACTGCAGGTTGTTTAAGGTCACCAGTAGTTCAGCTGCTGACGTACAACTAACTAGCTGTGAGAGGGATGGTGTTGATGTCCAAGTTTAGAATTTTTTTAAGCACCTTTTCTGTCCAGGCTTCCTGGAAGCTGATTTGTATTGGTTATTTGTTTTTAACATTTGTGTATATATTCTGTACATATCTGTGTGTAAATGGATGTGTGTTCACATTTGCATGTTTTTATATCTCTGTTCTGTGTGTGTGTGTGTGTGTGTGTGGGGGGGGTGTTTAGGCTAAATGTGTCTTTGTATTCTCTCAGCTGGCATCAATCAGAGTGTGTGTGTGGAGTCAACCCACTGCCAACAATGAAGCCCTTCACCAAACCTGGAGCTTTTTATCAATACGCACACACAGACGTGCACACATGCACATTTTCAGAGATCTCGAGGGGAAGGTGGATGGGGTTTTGTTTGGATCTTGAGAAGGATGAAGGTAGTCAGTGTGTGTGTCTGTGTGGCGCATGGCAGAAATTTAGCATTAGAGTATAAAGAGTTCATGTACGTGAGTTGTAGCTCGTGAGTGTTTTTAAACATACATTTTTTTTTTTCACAATTCACAAAATTAGACTCCCAAAGATCCAACAGAATTTTGCAATTTCTGGATTATTTATCTAAATACTCTGAGCAGTGTTCCCAATAAGTGTGCAGAATTTTACAGCTTTTTACCATATGGTTGTACAAGATGCAAGGGAGGAAGAGAGGGAAAAAAATGAAGAGAGCAAGTGAGTCAGAAATAATTTACATTCGGTCACACTTCTTTAAAAGACTTAAGCCAAGCTTATGTCTTTGTGTACTCATGAAGGTTAGACTGGGTTAGACTGGCAAGACAGTGATGAGAAATAGTTAATCATTTGGCAAGAATGCGTATGCATGTGTGTGCATGTGTGTCTAACTTGAGAGTTGTGAATGACATGGCACCCACAGATGACCTCAGCCTTGAATGAGTGCTTGAGTCCTTTTAGGTTTACCACCAAATGAAAGGAAGTGAATTAAGACTTTAACTCTGACTGTTTACACTTAGTGTGCAAGTCTTAGAGGAGGCTCTCGTACCCATGTACTCATGTTTGTAGTTTAGTATTACGCAAATCAAAACGGCTTACTTAAGCAATTGGTGCTTTACCCTAGCATGCACACAGCTATACACTCACTCTCTCACTCACTGACTCTCTCTCTCTCTCTCTCTCTCTCTCCCCAACAACACACAGGGCACAGGCACACACAGCATCACACACACCACACAACACACGAGTGGATGACACAGCCACACACACAACACATCAGACAAGCGCGGACACCCACACGACCTCTTCTCATATTACTGAGTCTTCCATCTCTGTTTTCGCAGTATCAAATGGCAAGCGCTGAATCCATTTGTCAAACAAACTCCTGGCGTACGTTGGCACTCAGGCCTGCAGATCACTCATTTATCTGAATACACACTCTTCCATTAGTCCCAGATCTGCTTTCACCTCTTCTTTTTCTCTCTCTGTCCGTTCATCTCTCTCCTCCTCCTCCTGCTTCTCTCATTTCCCTCCTTGTCTTCATCCGGCTTGCCCTTTCTTGTTGTCTTCTTATTCATCCGTCTTGCTCTTTCATCGCTTGTTCTCTACTCATCTCCACTCCTCTGTTATTGCAATGATACAGGGATGAAGGGACTGACCCCTCACTGAAGGTCAGAGTTCACATGGTCCTACCACACCTCATATATGTATTCTCTCTCTTTCTGCCTTCTACTGCTGAGCTGCGTACTTGAGTAAACGTTAGAAGAGCTTAACCCTCACTTTTGTGCTGTTTAACCTCATCTTCATTGCAAAGCAAGTATTTCATTCCTCTTTGCTCCCCGTCTATGTTTTTGATTCCCACAATTCTTAAGGAAACATGCCTTCGAAAATACTGCCAACCGAGTGTATGGGCAAGTCATCAGAGCAAGCAGTCTCTACATGTAGAGAACAATTTATTTGAATTCTGCTGTGTTTCGTCTTTTTAGTTTAGTTTATTTTTAAACTTGAGAAAGAAGAAAATCCGTAGTAAACATTCTCTAAATGGGATTTCCAGTGCTCTAACAGGAGAACAGCAGTGCAGTTTGTTCAGAGAAAAAAAACTAAATCCAGTAGTCTGCAGGAAAGAGCCATAAAGCACAAAGGCTGAAGGGCATGGAAATAATGGACTGGGGTTTATTTCCTCCTGTTGAAGAATATATTGGTAAAGGAAAGAGTGAAAGAATTTTTAAGAAGTTGAAGAAATATTAGAAAAAAATCCTAAAAGGAAGATTTCCACTGGTAATGTTTAATTACTTTACAGAATTGTTGCAGAACTGTCCTGTAAGTATTGCATTTAAGATGTTATTGTCAAAGCAATGATTTTTAAAAACATACCGAGCATACAGGTGGGAACTTTAAGTGGGTGTTATAATGTGGATATTGAATGCAATATCTTCCAATTGATATGAGTCCTAAAGTGGTAAAATGGTGTGATTTGCATATTACGCATTACCTTTAAGCTGAGAGCTGGTTAGTTATGTAATGAATATACATATATCTACTAACAGGTCATATATCAGTCAGTGCTATTCTTCATTCCCAGGTTAAATTAGTTTCTTCAGTTGCTGTCCTGGAAGTTGAGAAATGTTGAAATATGTTGAAATCTTTCTGTTCCCAGCAGTTAATTCACCTGTAGTATCTTGAAGTTGTGAAATGTCAGTCACTTCCTATAATTTCTGGTCACCACAATGCTGTGAATCACTTCCAGTGTAGCTTAACTGACTACTACCAAACTAATGTTTATATGGGTCTTATGGGTCAAGAGTCTTAACCATTCAAGGGAACTAGAATTGGACCCAGATCCACATACCTACTGTGACACCTTCGAGCATTTTCACCATTGCGAACTTGGTTGCAAAAACCTGGATGTGATGAGGAGGGACATACCCGTTGGCTGATAACTTGTCATTGACGGGTTGCTTGTCATGTAGCCTCACACATGAGATAATCCTCTTTTTTGAAACGCGATATGATCAAGATTTACGAAACAGAGTTCATTTTTTATTCATTATGTCCCAACATAAGAGACTGAGCCCATGGACTGAGCAAGAACATGTTTAAACAAGAAATAACAGAAAGCTGTTTTCCCATAAACTTCTACTGGACCAGACGTCTTTTTGCAACTACAGCTGTCGCCCTCTAGTGGCCTTAAGATAGAATGCAGATTTAGGCTCTAGCTTCATTGTAAATATACCGGGTTAGCTAAAACTAGACAAGAAAGGAAGGAAGAATCATCCTGTGTGTATAACAGTTTAACAAATGATTTAACTGTCTCTTTCATCTCTGACAAAGCAGTGTGTTTGACTTGCGTTGTGACTAGTAGTCCATCAAAAATCTTGCCAAACATGTCATCCCTACACATTATTTTAAAATTTAATTTCAGATGTTAAAGGCCAAAAGGGAACTGTGAGATCTTAATATTGCAGCAGGGAATTGTGACCCCCATTATAAAAATAATACACAAAGATGAAGTGGTTCAGGGTGAATTCAGGCTAACACACAGTGAGAGTAATGAAGAAGCTGCAGACTCGATGCTCATAAAACTGTTTACACACGTTTTGCCGCTGATGTTTCAAGTCTTTGGGGATAAATGGGTGTGTTTTAGAGAAAGTGACCAAGCAAGGCTTTTAGGGATGATTTGTCATTTAGTCCAGCAAGAAAGCAAAGGGGTAAATCTGGCTTTTGTGTCATATTAAGAAAATATAATAATTAAGGAGATGACTCTGAAGAAAATACACAAAAATTCAAAATGACTGGAACCAGAGGTCAAGTTGGGTAGCCAGCAGATTTATATTTTTCTTGGCTGACTTTGAAGCATGTTTATAATTTTTGACAAGTATTCAAGTTTTTTATAAAACAAACTGGATCAAGATCAGAGGTGAAGTCACAGCTCCTTAAATGCAAACTGTTGATGTATGAATGCATTTTCATCACCTCTGTATGCAATGGTGATTCTTGTGATGGTTAGGAGAGATTTACCAGCTCCTGTCTCCTCCAGGTAATGGCACTGGCAGAGGCTGCAGAGGAGAACCGGGCACTGCTGGAAGAGGCGTTTGTTCGTCTGCGGAGTGCCACACACCTTCTCGTGCTCCTGCTGTCCCTGTGGCAGGGCCTGACCCCCGATCAGACCAGCATCCTGGAGGCCACACTGCTTCCTCTGCTGCAGGACACACCGCAGCTGGTACACAGTCTCTCACTCACGCACGCACGCACGCGCACACACACACACACACACACACACACACACACACACACACACACACACACACACACACACACACACACACACACACACACACACACACACACACACACACACACACAGGTGGCCATTAACATTTCAGTATCTGTCCATCCATCTGCAGCTTGCTCAGTATACATAGACCCAGCTTAAACACACTCTCTAAAAACTTTTAAAATAGATTAAGTACTTCTGGTCTCTGTGGAATACACACCAACCTATGTACAACTGTATGAATATCCCTAACACTTCATGGAGTCACCTAGGACACCCACCACAAAAAACACAAATCACACATTCATTTTTAGCAGAATCAAACATCACGCCGTCAGCTCTGCACAGAGTCAGAGTGTGTTCTGTGGTACCTGTTCATAATTTGACCATTAAATCTGATGTGTTTTTTTTTGTTTGTTTTTGTGTGTGTGTGTGTGTGTGTGTGTGTGTGTGCATGCATGTGTGAATATATATAAAATACACAAATACACGCAAAAGGTCAAGGTCAAAGAAAGGTCCTAGTGTGAATAGATGGCATATTGCTCTTTAAAGAGCCTCTGACTCAGACGTCAAGCTTTGTGTGAGAGTGTGTTTGAATGTGTGTTTGTGCTTATGTGAGCGTGGGTTGTGCACTGCCATGTTGACAGAGCTCCTCCATTTGCTGCAGTCAGACCACGAAAGATTTGTCACTCCATCGAGACGGCGAGTGCCCACTGTGGGTGTGTTTGTATTAGTTTTTCCATAGCTCTGATCAATCCCCTGAACCTCTCATTACCACCGTGTCTATTTCCAGCTTTCGCTAACAGCGCAGAGTTACACACATGCACACAACTGTGCATAAAATATCTTACAGTACGCTCACACTGTGATTGTAGACAGAAATAGCTTCAGAGGGTCAGTTGATGAGCCTCGAGGGACTGTGAAAGTAAGTTTGTGTGTGTGTGTGTGTGTGTGTGTGTGTTATTATAAATGGGATTAATGGCATTAAGTAAATTAGTAGTAATCAGGGTCATGTCCACAACATTAAGACAAACAGGTGGACTGAAGGGTTATTTTAGGAAATTTACATTACCTGATGCAGTGCTGTGACAACATCAAGATTCCAGTGGAGTTTTTATTAAGTTATTAGAACATTTATTTTTCTTTGTGTAACATGTTATTTTGGCTTATTACACCTAGGCACTTCTTTTGTTGAGAGGGAATTGTTATTTTTATTATTTAAGTCAAAACTCTTTTTTCAAAAAACACTAAATCTTCATCTGGACTTTTTACTGTTTCTGTGGGTGCACTGGCGAGGTCATTCCAGGTGAGTACAAGTCCGTCACTCAGTTAGTTCCAGGATTGTCACAGATATGAATAAAGTCTCTGAGGAGAATGGGGGTGGAACAGCTATCAATTCTTCAGCCAAAATGAACGATTGGCTAACTTAGTTAAATATTTCTCCATCTTGAATTCATTAGTAAATTCCTACACACTCTTCTGTTACCCATTACCCATTTATTGGATCTTTTTCAAACGCAGAACTTTTTTCATTTTTCAGTAAAAATGCAATTTTCATAATTTCAGTTCAGTCTCACTGAGCAGTTTTACCCACGGAGATGATCCTGATCGAGATACTGTTTTAGGAGAGCAAACTCCAGTACAGCACATGATCCCAAAGTTCTGTTAGTCCACTCATTAAAAATAATAATAAACAGACAAACATGCAATTAAAATTTTTCCTGTAAGGTATGTCCTAGGACAGGACAGCAATGTGGCTGCTATTCATAGGTTGCTGCCATTCTGACCCAGATACTTGTGCATACAGTTCATTGTCAGTGTGAACGATGGATGGAGCCACGCTGACATCACTCACGAGAGGGTGGATTTATAATTTATCAGCTGATGCTAATTAGCTTAGTTAGCAAACTAAATTCATAAACGATATGGCTACAATCCACAGACATGCATATCAGGTAACTGGTGCTCAGACTAAAATGCTGGAATTTTAGTCTCCAAAACCAAAGCAATAACTTTTTGGATGCTCTGTACCGCACTGTAAGTCATAACATTAGTCAGGTAATCCATTAAAAATGCTCAAAGAGGCATAAATGCTGCACACACA